GAGGCTTCCACACACCTTTGGAGAGTATGCAAGGTCTAAACTCTAGGGCTGGGGAGATGGCTCAGTTGGTAAAGTGACGGCATTCTAAGCACAACGATCTGAGTTCAGTTCCCCAGAACCCAGATAGGGCCAATGGGACCGAATAGAAGATTAATCCACACACCCATGAACGCCTGATTTTTGACAAAAAAAGCAAAAACATATAAAATGGAAAAAAGAAAGCGTATTTAATAAATGGTGCTGGCATAACTTGATATCAACATGTAAAAGAATTAAATAATCCATATCTATCACCATGCACAAAACTCAAGTCCAAATGGATCAAAGGCCTCAACATAAAGCCAGCCACACTGAACCTCATAGAAGAGAAAGTGGGAAGTACACTTCAACGCATTGGCACAGGAGACCACTTCCTAAATATAACCCCAGTAACACAGATACTGAGAGAAACAATTAATAAATGGAACTTCCTGAAACTGAAAAGCTTCTGTAAAGCAAAGGACATGGTCCACAAGACAAAATGACAGCCTACAGAATAGAAAAAGTTCTTCACCAACCCCACATCAGACAGAGGTCTGATCTTCAAAATATACAAAGAATTCAAGAAATTGGTCACCTAAAGAACAAATAACCCAATAAAATAATGGAGTACAGACCTAAACAGAGAACTCTCAACAGAGGAATCTAAAATGACTGAAAGACACCTAAGGAAATATTCAATATCCTTAGTCATCAGAGAAATGCAAATCAAAACAATTCTGAGATTACATCTGACACCTATAAGAATGGCCAAGATCAAAAACACTGATGACAACTTATGTTGGAGAGGTTGTGGGGTAAAGGAAACACTCCTGCATTGCTGGTGGGAGTGCAAACTGGTACAGCTCCTTTTGATGTCAGTGTGGCCATTTCTCAGAAAATTAGGAAAGGACCTTCCTCAAGACCCATCAATACCACTTTTGGGTATATATCCAAAGGATGCTCAATCATGCCACAAGTACATGTGCTCAACTATGTTCATAGCAGCATTGTTTGTCATAGCCAGAACCTGGAAACAACCTAAATGCCCCTCGACTGAAAAATGGATAAGGAAAATGTGGTACGTTTACACAATGGAGTACTACACAGCCGAAAAAAATAATGACATCTTGAAATTTGCAGTCAAATAGATGGATCTAGAAAACATCATTTTGAGTGAGGTAACCCAGACACAGAAAGACAATTATCACATGTACTCACTCATAGGTGGTTTTTAAACATAAAGCAAACAAAACCAGCTTACAAATCACAATTCCAGAGACCCTAGACAACAATGAGGACCCTTAGAGAAATATACTTGAATCTAATCTACATGGGAAGTAGTAAAAAACAAGATCTCCTGAGTAAACTGGAAGCATGGGGACTATGGGAGAGGGTTGGAGGGGAGGGGAGAGGATGGGAGGGGAGCAAAGAAAAATGTAGAGCTCAATAAAATCAATTAAAAAAAGCCAGGCACGGTGACACAGACTTAAACTTTCAGGGCTTGAAAAGAGAGACAGGTGGGTCCCTGGGGGTTTTGAGCCACTCAGTCTAGCCAAACCAGCAAGTTCGAAAACCCAGTGAGAGACCGTGTTCCCCAAAACCAAGATAGACAGGGTCCTGAGGAAGGACAGCTAAGGTTGCCCTGGCCTCCACACAAATTCACACACAGACAAGATCCAAAACCTAACAGCTTGTTTCCACCACTGCACTCAGTTTCTCTATCTTCAGTCTCAGCGCCTCCAACCCAACACGCAGCAAACACTCACTCTTAGTCCTGTTGATGCTCCCCTCGGAAACACAGCAGCCCTAAGACAGTAGCTGTCCCAGAAACACAGCAGCCCTAAGACTACAGCTGTCACACAGAGGCAACTTCCCTCCTTGCAGTCCTGCAGCACTTGGTGTCTGCAGACAGTCTGTTGTTGCAGTTTTGTTGAGGTTTCCCCTCTAGATGCTGCTGGAACTCATACAATACACAGAGCTGCTACGTCTGGTCCACATGTCAAAAAGTCGACGTTGGCCTGGGGATGTGGCTCAGCTGATAGAGTGCTTCCTGGTATGCCCAATGGAAGCCCTGGGTTCTAATCCCCCCTCCCCCAGCCCCTGCACACCATAAATGGCGGCACACATCTGTACTCAGTATATAGAGGCGGAGGATCAGAAGTTCAAGATCATCCTTAATTACATAGCTGGAAGCCATCCAGGACCACATGGGAATTGTCTCAGAAGGAAATTGTGTCAAAGCTCAGAAATCCTGCTTCAATCATGAAACACAAAGCTCGCAAAAGCCAGAAGTTACAGAAGCCTGCCATAAGGCAGTGTTTCCCGACATGCCAGGGCATTCGTGCACATGAATGCACGGGAACTGCAGCTGCCTAGACAAAGCGAGCCAGGCAATACATCAGCATAGACGAGGAGGGAACTGGAGACGCCACCTCTAGCTGAGGAGCTACTGGCAGTCAACTCTGATATGGGGCTAGGGATCAGGGATGTGGACCCCGGCAGGTTCCACAATCCCCTTGGATTGCCTCATACACATGAGTATCTGCACAGCACAAATCGGGGGGGGGGGGCGTAAATTTGGGAAGGGGTAGGGATGGATTTGGGAGGAGTTAAGAGAATAAGTAGGGGTGAATCAGGTCAAAATACACTGATAAAATATTACAATAAGAAAAAACAGAACTAGTACAAAGAGCACAATAATTTAAAAAAGTTCTTTTTAACATGTATGGGTATTTTGTCTGAATGTACGTCTGTGCACCAGGTGCATGCCTGGTGATTCTAATCTGTGGCAGGTTCACATTAAAACCAACCAAGCTAACCAGTACTAGGAAGCGGAGACAGGAACATCCCTGGGGCTCACTGACCAGTCAGCCTAACTTACTGGGTGAATCCTAGGCCAGTGAGAGACCTTGCCTCAAAAAACAAGGAGGACAGCACGTGAGGAATAAAAGACCAAAGTTTTCCTCTGGCTTCCACGTCCACACACATGCACCCCCCCCCCACACACACACACAAGCTACACACAAAAGATACTCTCCTGTGGATGCTGAAGTCATTTCCATCCACAGACATGACCACTGAATTCCCTCTTACACTATGTAGCAGGTCTTAAGGATAAAGGTGATGAAGCCAAGGTGTTCAAGGTACAACATGTGTCTGGTGGAACAGTGTGTGTGTGTGTGGGGGGTGTTATTGCAGGAGCTGTATGGAGCAAGGTAGTATAGACAAGGCCCTGTGCTCAGTGCCTTTTTATGGGAAAAGCAAAATAAAATGCGGTCCACTTCAGAGGTCATTACTTTTCAGCTTCTGCTTGCAAAGGACACTTCTGACACCTCCCCTGAAGGAAGGGGCAGAGGAGGGAGGCAGGAGCAAGTACTTCAGCCTCAGTGGTCTTTTCAGAAGGGGCCTATGATGTCCCTTTGAGAGAAATCCAAAAGGAAGAAAGAAATTTAAGATCCAGCATCTGACCACCCGGAGTCCAACAAGCAAAAGGAAAAAGTTGCAGAAGCTGGGAAACTGTCCAAATAAAGTAGGTCAATTCCACCCTCATTTATTAAAGGCATTTGCCGCTGCAAACCCTCAGAGATAGAACCACAGGTCAGGATAAGCCCATACAGTAGCCAGGAGCCCAGGTGAAGCCTTCTCCTAGAGATACACGTGCATACACACGGCCATGTGCATATGTAAATGACAAGCAAATACAAGGGGCGCAAGGGACAGAGCAAACCTCAGACTGGTGGTACCCTTCCTCCAGAAGTCAGGAATCTGGAGACCTGGGCGCTAGTCCCAGCCCTGCTCCCGACACGCTGATATGAAGCAAATCCCTCTCTGAGGGCTTTAGATTGTGTAAAATGAAAGGCTTGAACAGACTACGCAAAGCAACCTCCCAAGGTTCAGTGAAGATTTGAACCAAGCAAAGCCTCTGTTTCTCCATCTGTTTAACTCTGAGATAACCCGGAGCATTCCTTCCAGAACCCTCCCCCCCAAAAAAGTAAGCTACTCCTGTTCGTTCTTCACAGATGCCTCAGGAAACGGGAAACTAAGTCACTGACCTAGAAGAGAGTCTCAGGAGCTATGATTCCCTGTGGTTTCTTAGGATGCAGATCTTGGGGGAGGGGTGACATTTTGCCGAGCTTGTTGGGAGGAGTAACTCCGGAGTCCTTAACCCAGCAGCCTTGAACTTCTTCCCAGTTCTTTCCACCCTGCCAGTCTCAACCCAGCCTGTCTCTCCTGCAGATATCCCAGGGGAAGCCGCCCAAAGTTCCCAGGAGTTTCTATGGGAAAGAGTGGCAAACCATCCCTTGGCTTCTCTCTGCTCCAACTTTCTCCTTCTCCTGCCCCGAGTTTGTTGTGACCCGCGTTGCTCCCAGGAGCCCACAGGCACAGACTTTTGAAAAGCCAGTCCCTCCAGGCGGAGAGGGGGCGGAAGACACAACACTCGGGATTAAGAATGGTCCCGCCACGGACACTAAATCTCTTCGCACAACTTTCTCAATTTCCCATCTGCAACTGCTAGCTAGCCCGAAGAACTGGAGTTCTAACTCTTTTCCTGACGTGGGTCAAGCCTCTCCCGCCCCTTTTCTGAGCCTTGGTCTCCTTGCTTTTAAAGCCTGAGATCCCCGGGTCTAAAAGGGGAAGAGGGGGTTCTGATGAAGCGCTAGAAAGTGTCTAGCATATTTGATATCCTGGGGCTGCTGCAGAATCGTCTCCTGGAAAGAAGCTACTCAGTGGGCGGGAGCGGATGAATGAAGGGCAAGGGGACCGAGCCTAGATCTGCCTCAACTCGGACGCAGGGTTCAGGAAGGTTTTGTCTTTGGAGAAGGGAACTCCGAAGGGGGACGCCTAAGGGCACTCCGACAGAGTAAACGATATTATTGCTGCGGGAAGGGAGATCGGCTGCTCCCCATAATTTCTAAGACCCAGCAGAGCAAAGAGGGCTGGTCCCTCTGGTCGGCGTCCTGGAGAAGCGCGGTACTCACAGTGTAAGCTGCTCTGGCTAGCAGCAGCAGCAGAATCAGTGACCGTGGTCCCCACGATGACAGCCGGGACCTCATAGTTCTTGACATGCTCCCCCGATTATTTTTCCTCCTTTGCTTTCTGGCCACTCGGGAGCTCGGTGTCTATTTCGGTGACCCCCCCCCCCCCCCTCAGCGTCCAACACGGCGTCCAGGACCATGGGCGACCAAGAAGCCCAGAGAAACCATAGCTGAGTCTGTCCAATCTGATCAGATCCACAGGCAGGCTAGGGACTGCTGCTCCCTGAAGGAGGGTAGCTAACCTGCCGGTGCCTATTGATAAGGACTGGACACTGCTCACTGCTCGCGACTCCACCCGCTGGGAATAGTAGGGAGGGGATGGGGAAGCATGGGGCTGGCAGAGAGGAGAGAAGGGGAGGGACCCCAGTCACTAGCCCGGAGGCAGCTACCACCTCCGGCCTTCCCCTCCAATTCAGAAAGTACTCTCTCTGGAGTCTAAGGATCTAAGTCTTGTGTCTTGAGCAGTGACAAGGTAGACAAGACAACACTTTTTTTTTTTGAATCCTCTATTGAGGATTGAGACCTGGTCTCACTATACAGCCCAGGCTGGCTTTGAACTCACAAACCTCCTGCCTCAGTTTCCCCAGTACAGGGATTACAGATGTGGGTCAGCATACCTGGTCTAGGTCATCAGCTAATACTTCTCAGGTTGACATTTAAACAAACTGAGTCAATGTCTACTGCGTCCCAAAGGACAATTTGAAGTGGCATAAAATCTCTAGTTATTCAGCATCCACTACTGCAACAAATCAAGCAACTAATCCACACATAAAGAGAAAAAGGTTGATTTGCTCATAATCTGGAGGGTTCTGGTCCGTGACTGGCTGCCCCATGGCTTTGAGCCTGTGCCGGAGCAGCCCCCCACGCTCAGAGTGTTGAGAGGGCACAGTGGAGCTAAACTTCCTGGCTGAGGAGCCCTGGGGACAGAGAGAAAGAGGTCAGGGTCCAGTAGTCTCCTCTGAGATCCCATCCATTAGGACTAAAGACCTTTCACTATGTCCCACCTCCTAGAAGCCATCACCTTCCATAGTTCTACCCCAGGGACAAAAGCTTTAACCCAGGGCCCCTTGGGCAACATTTGACAACCCAAACTGTTAAAGATATTTTTTTTGAGGTAGAATCTCAGGTCCATCCTGGCCCCAAACTCATTAAGTAGCTGAAAATGACCTTGAACTTCTGACCACCCTGTCTCTACCTCCTGAATCCTAGGACTATGACCGCATGTCACTCAGTGACACCCACACACCCAGTGTATGTGGTACTGGATCGAAGTCTGGCTTCTAGAACGCTAGGAAAGCATCCTTGGTGTGAGCGTGGGGCGGTAGATTGATGGAGGAAGGTCATTGGTTAATTATAATAAAGAAACTGCTTGGCCCTCATAGGTTAAAACATAGGTGGGAGGAGTAAACAGAACAGAATGCTGGGAGGAAGAGGAAGTGAGCTCAGAGGCCATGCTCCCCTCTCCCGGCCAGACACGATGCAGCAAGCCGCCAGGTCAGACATGCTGAATCTTTCCCGGTAAGACTGGTGCTACACAGATTACTAAAAATGGGGTAGGCAAAATATGAGAATTAGCCCGTAAGAGGCTAGAGCTAGTGGGCCAAGCAGTGTTTAAAAGAATACAATTTGTGTGTTGTTATTTCTGGTGTAAAGCTAGCCGTGCGGGAGCCAGGCGGGACGAAAAGCAGGCCCGTAGCTCCTACTACAGTAGATACTGCAATGGCCACCATGGGGACATAAAGAACTGTGTATTCTCCAAACTCCAATGTCACCCTCCCTGAGAAAGAGAAGAACCATTCTTTTATGTCAACAGCCTCTTAATTCTTAGTTCTAACCCAGTTCCCCGGGTACGTTGTACCATAAAGAGGCTCATCTAAACCAAAGTCCCAACCGTCAGAACCCTGGAAATTCAATGTCCTCCCCACAGAGTCTTAGAGGTTACCCTGAGGACAGGAGAGTCTGTTCTTGATTTCAGGGTAAGATCTACAGATACTTCCAGTGTGTGTGTGTGTGCCTGTGCGGAGGTTTGTGTAGATGTGGGTGTCATCCTCAGTCACTCTCCCCTGACTTTTTGAGGCAGGGTCTCTCTCTCCGTGAACCTGAAGCTCATTATTTGGTTACACTGCTGGTCACTGAGCCCCAAGAGCCCCTGTCTGTACCTCCCCATTGTTGGATAGCAAGTGAATTCCATCGTCCCCGACTTTTTATAGGGTCTCAAGCTTGCATGGCAAGCACCTTGCAGATTGAGCTATCTCCCAAGCCCATTTGCAGGCACACCTAGAAACTCATGGAGGTAGGTTGTCAAGGTAAACGCAATCCTCGGGAAATGAAAATTTCCAAGAAAAATTTACCTAGTGCCAAAAGGGAAAGAAATCTTTCCTCTCCCCCCTTTCCTTCAGCATGTCCTGGAGTGATGTTTCATTTGCATTTTAGTAAATAAAGCTTGCCTGAAGTTCAGAGAGTAAACCTGTCACATTGATCAGCTTTACAGACCAGGCAGTGGTGACACACACCTTTAATCCCAGTAGCCACACTAGTTTGCAATTGAAACCGGGCGGTAGTGGCACACACCTTTAATCCCAGCACTAGAAAGGAATATAAGAGGGGAGGAGACAGCTCTCACACACAGTCTCATTCTGAGATTCCTGGGGGCAGGATCTCCATTTGGGACTAAGGTAGAGGTTAAGAGCCGGTGACTGACTGTTTTACTTTTCTGACCTTCAGGTTGAGCACCAATTTTTGTCTCTGGGTTTTTATTAATTGTGCCACAATTAATAAGGATACATTCTGTTTCTCCACTGTTTATACAAATCCTTAAAAATCTAAACAAAACTCTCGACAGTTCTGAATTGCAGCACCCCCTCCAACTCCTAACACTTGCTTTTTTGAGAGAGTGTCTCTAGCCCAGATTTACCTTTAATTCCCTATGATCCAGCTGAGGATGCCCTTGAGGTCTGGTCCTCCTACCTCCACCTCCCGAGTGCTGGGATTGCAGACCGGATCCACCACCCCTAGTTTTCCACAGTGCTGGGGCCCAACCCAGGGCTTTGTGAGTGTTAGGTCAGCATTCTGCCAGAGCTCAACTACTGCTTGGAGCTCTCAACTTGTCCAAACAGGTTGGGGAGTTTCCTCTTTTGTTCAACTAAACACAATCCTGTGGGCATAAGTGAAAATCCTTCCTGACCATCTCAAAGAGTGAGGCTTGTGTTGCTTTTGTAGAGAACCGGTCACAGCACATTCAGCCTGGCTCGATGCTGACTGAGTGCATCGGTCAGTCTTTTTGTTGCTGTGATAAAATACCTCGACAAGAGCAACTTGGGCTGAAAGGGTTTAGCTTGGCTCCTGGTTTGAGGGCACAGTCCGTCCTGATAGAGAAGGCATGGAGGCAGGAGCAGGACGCAGGAGCAGGAGGCAGCGGGTCACATCGCATCCACACTCCAGGAAGTGGAAAGAGATGGATGCTGGAGCTCAGCTCAGCTTCTCCTTCTTATTCAGTCCAGGACCCTGGCCCAAGGGATGGTGCTGCCCACCTTCAGGGTGGGTCTTTCCTTCTCTTTTAACCTAGTTTCCCTCACAGATATGCCCAGAGGTTTGTCTCCATGGTGATTTTAGAGCCTGCCCAACTGATTGCATTAACCATCACACTGAATTAGAAAAATTATCTTATTTTCTTTACTTTGTAAAGAGGATTCGCCGAACTGGCTGGAGGACCCTCCCTTTTTAAAAAAAAAATTATTTCAGCCGGGCGATGGTGGCGCACGCCTTTAATCCCAGCACTCAGGAGGCAGAGGCAGGCGGATCTCTGTGAGTTCGAGCCCAGCCTGGTCTACAAGAGCTAGTTCCAGGACAGGCTCCAAAGACACAGAGAAACCCTGTCTCGAAAAACCAAAAAAAAAAAATTATTTCTCCATTATGTCTTATATTGTTTTTCACCTCATAGCAAGGAAAAGACATGGTAGAGAATTAACATCATTGACAGATATTTACTGAGCCCCTGTCCTGCTCCAGGTGCTTTATGAGGGTGATGGGGACTGGGAAAATTGCCTTTGCCAACCTTGGTCCCATGTAGAGAGACAAACATGTTCTGGCCACAGCCATTCCAGGAGGCTAAAAAAGACAACTGAGGCTGCCATCTGTTTAAGAGTCCTGAGTCACCCCAAAATGAATAAGCTTCTTGGTTAGCAGTCATAAGCAACCGTAGGATCAATGGGTTTTTCCAGACTGCTGTAAATACTATGCACAGTATACAGCAACACAATAAAGATGGTTGGTTCTCTTGGTAAAGAAATTGTAGGATAAACATCAAAACCTGAGTTTGATCCCAGCACCCACATAAAAAGCCAGGCTTGGTGGTATATACCTGTAATCCTAGTTCAGAGGAGGTGGAGATGGGCAGATGGGGGTAGATTCTTGCTGGTCAGCCAAACTAGCTTTGTATGTGAGCCTTGAGTATCAGTAAGAGATCATGTTTCGAAAGAAGGAAGGAAAGAAAGAAAGAAAGAAAGAAAGGAAGGAAGAAAAGAAAGGGCATGCTGCCTGAAGATTCCTAAGACTGACTTCGGACCTTCACATATATAGTGTACACACACATACACACGCACACATGCATGCGCACACATACAACATATAGGAAGGTATCAGACAACCAAACCTAGTGAAATTGTACATCAACTAAGCCCTACCTGTCACCAGTCTCATAGGCCAAGCACATTTGAATATCCATATTTCATAAGGCCCAAGTCTGCAGTCGTGTATAGCTTTTCCTGGCACCCTCCACTCTTCTTTTTATTTATACAAACTTTTCTTGTCCACTTGCAGACCATGGACCTTGCTGGGCTTTCAGGAAGAGTAAGTAGCTCAAGTGTTATCACATGTCCCAAAAGAGAAGCGGCTTCTGCACTCATCAATCAAGTAACAGTGATTGGTTCTGAGACAGGCATGGGATTCATTCTGAGCAAGAGAAGTGATATCAACACATTCAATATGTGGGCACCATGATCAGACGAACAACAAGATGGCAGTCTTTTCCAGAGCATGGGACATCTTTGTTGAGAACGGA